AGTGCTTAAACTCTTTACTGTAAGTTCGTGGGGCGCAGCGGATAACACCAAACACAAGCTATGCAAACAAAACAATCAACTATGTTGTAGAGAATATGCTACAGCACTGTCATAGTAACAGATGACTGACAGAGTGTTGTAACACCTTCTCTATCACAAGCACACACGTAAAATATGAAGTAAAAACAGCAAGCAAGACACCAGAATTATTCATGCAGTTCGGAGCAAATTCTCTTACGTCTGCAAGGCCCACATCCGTGTAATAGCTCTTCTACTAAATCACCGTAAGAATTACACAATCAATCACAACAGAACCTTCTAATGTATTGATTTGTCTACTTACGAATGACTTGACAACAAACTCGATTTGCGTCTATCTCCACGGCTTGTTACACTTTCTCAAAGATCTTCTTCAAGGACGTAGATTCCAATACACCTTCAAATAAAGATTCTCCTTGATCTACAAAAATATGCAGGCTGTTCAGAAGCTCATAACTCGAGATTGAACCGTTGAAATTCGATCTCCACCGTTCAGATTGAAGCTCCACGAGTTCCTAGACTCCTCCTAAAATTGCAGCACGATCGGAAAAGATTTGATACTCCAACCATCGAGAAAACCAGGGCTGCATTTTCTGCGAAAAATCAGCAACAATGTGTAGATTGTAACTTCAATAACAGAAGATCCGTAACTCCGATTGACGTGAAATTTGAACACGTTGAAGCCCTTTGTGTTGGGAACACTCTCTGAAAATTTCAGCAAAATCCAACCGTCGGATCTCTGGGTATGATCAAATCTATGCGGGCTGTCTAGAAAATTTACAGTTTCTAAATCTGCACCTTGTTTTTCTTTTGATCGGATTTGCTTCAGGTTTTTCTTCGTTTTTCACGCCCAAAACCCTAAGAGAGGGTGAAGATAATATATAGAGCATATTAACCTCGTTAGAGTTTGCTTAGAAGTCTCAACCATGCCTTCCTCCTCAAGAATAGTAAACCAAATAGGATTATACTTCTTTCTTCAAGCTCTTTCCTCTTTCTCTTTCTTCACATGCTAGAATTCCAAGTCTAAATAAAATATCTAAAATAACTCTAGGTAAATCTATTCGTTTGTCAAAAAATAATGCCAACACAATATGGGAACTAACATTTACCTCAGTTTCTTCCAGTTCCTTCTAGTTTCATTCAGTTCTTCCAGTTTCTTCCAACTATTCTCATTTTCTTTAAACCTTTTCTACTCCCCAATAGGGGTGTAAACGAACCGAATCGAAGCGAATACCGATATATTTGAATTTGTATTTGTTTAATTTTTTCGAATACGAATCCGAATCCGAATATGAGACGAATTCAAAATAAGATTTGAATAAGTATTTGATTAATATTCGAATAGTTATCGAATCATAAACGAATATTTGAATAATCATACTATGTAATTTATATGAAGGACCAACATCAATTTGTAATTTAACTTACGATACTCTTTATACTATACTATATTCCGTATATAAAAACATTAATACATTTGCATCTTACACAAATTTTATTTATAAAATATAACTATTAAAAATCATATGCTTTAGATTTTCGTGTTACGTTAATTTATTGAATTCTTAGTATTTTAAATAAACTTTATACTATATTACTTTGCTTGACTTTTGATGTTGAAAACATGGTCTGTGTATATATACATATATTCGAATATTCGAATATCATCCGAATCGAATATATCTCTATTTTTATTTGTATTTGATTAATATTCGAATAAAAAATAATATTTGAATTTGAATTTGTATTTGAATAACGCGAATTCGAATCATCATATTCGAATACGAATCGCGAATCGAATTTAAAATATTTGATTTGTTTACATCCCTACTCCCCAACCAATTACTCTAAAAACGATATATTTTTAATGTGATTATTACTACTACTACTACTACTGTTGGACAATGTGCTATTATGAATATATATTTTTGCAATGTCCTTTGCCCATTGTCTTGTATGTTTTGATAATGACAAAAGAGTGACAAAACATCATCATCATATTGTGCATCAAGGCTAAGAATCAAAGCTACAACAAGTTCATATCCATCCGTGAAGAAGGGACTTGAGCATCGGTGGAAGGAACGAGACTGAAGAGGTTGTTTCCTTAGTTGGGTAGTGTTTTAGGTATTAGATTATGTGTTAAAGAGTATGGCATCTCTAACGTTTATTTCTTTATCATCCTACCTTTAAAACACATTTTTTTCAGCAAACTATTCGAATAAATTGCAAACTATTCGAAATTCTATTCTGACTTAGTTGAATAAATCCAGAACTAGTTGAATAAGTCAGATTGCAGTTTCACCAAAACTAGTCGACTAAGTCTTGATTTAGTCGAATAGTTCGACAGTTTTAACTACCAAACGACTAGTTTTTTGAATGCTTTTCATCCCTATCCACTCCCTAACTTCTATAAACCATCCTATCTCGTGTTTTTGGCCAAGAATATACATTGAAAATACTTAAAAACATATCCTTTGAATATCCAAAGAGATTCTACTCAATCCCCTCCTTATATCCAAGCAAGACAATTGTTTTGATTGCTAAATCATTTCTTGCTTGAGTTTTTCCTCATTGCTTGAGTCTTTGAGAGATATTGCCATATTCTAAAGGACTTCATTGTATTTGCAACAATCTACTCCGTGTTGGGAGAATTATTCGGTTGCGGTTTGTTTTCTTATTTTATTGTAAGGGATTTGTATTCTTGGTGTTGGGATTACACCAAGTGGTAGAAATCCTAACGGTTTGTGAAATCAAACGTTAGGTGGAAGAAATCCTAAGTTTTGTGAAATCAAAACTTCGGTGGTAAGATAAGAGGCTTGTGAAATCAAGGTCTCGAGTTGTATTCGGATTGTCAAACTCCGTTAAGTTTGACGGGTTAGTGAAGGCCTGGGCACGATTGCTTCGGGGACTGGATGTAGGCATTTAGGCCGAACCAGTATATATCGTGTGTGCATTGCTCTTATCCTTCACTTTATTTTGTTTGTGGTGCATTGATTTTATTGAATATTCGTGAAGAACGTTTCCGCGCAAAAAACTGGTCTTTTGGGCAACACCTCTATTCACCCCCCTCTAGAGGTGTGCGAGGCGTCTAACAACTACTACTATCGTAATGTTCATAAATATAGCTTATAAATTATTTTTCATATCACTATTTTTACAATTCACATTCATTATTTTTTCTTCAACTCTTTAATATGAATAAGACAATTTTTTGTATATTAAACTACATGATAAAACAGGAAAACATTAATATTTTAAAATATATTTAAAAATTATAGATAAAATAGTTACATAGAATGTTATACTAATCTAACTCTATATAAGACCCCTCACGTTTCCCTTTATTACTCAAATTTTTCTCATTTTTCTAATTTTAATAAAAAATTGAAATTTAAAATAGTTTAGAAAAAAAGACTAAAATAGGAGTAAAACATAAAAAATATGAAAAAAAAATTATGTCTTTATTCTAGAGATAGGAGTTACAATAAAAATAAAACGTCAATCATGAAAGAAAAAATATGTTGGATTACATTATGTGACATGTCTAATATTTAAAACAATATCTTATAATATATAAAGTATAATTACAAATATATTATTTATAATAAATACTGCATAAATAAATTAAGGTGCAATAAAACCACAATAACTTTAAAGAATTTAACATTTGATATTTATGCTAACTTTATATTATACCCCCTCCGTCCACCATAAATCTTTCCAATAGCCCTTTTTCTTTGTCCACAATAGATCTTCTCATTTCATTTTTTAACAATTAAAATACCAGAAGTACCCCCACTTACTTTATTTATTACACCTCACCCACCTCATTTAATACACTCCACCCATTTTTCATTAAGGGTATTATGGTAAACTTTCACCTTTTTTCAACTCTCCTTAAAAACCACCAAAAGTCAAAATGAGAACATCTTAGGGGGACGGAGGGAGTAATTATTATTTTCTTGCAAAAGTAATTTTTTTATGTATGAAAAGTAACAATACTTTTTTTTATCTTAAAATCATTCATTAAGATAACGTGATGATGATGATGATGATAATAGTAATAACAATAACAACAACAACAATAATAATAATAACAATCATAATAATAATCATAATAATAAAAATTTATAACAACAAGAATTAGAATTTGAATAATATAAAAATACACTAAAATAAAGTTTTTTTTAAAGTTTTTTGGTCTTCCAACTTTTTGAAGTTTTTCCACTTTCTTCTAGTTCTTTCTGGTTTCTTCCAGTTTCTTCCAATTTCTTCCAACATCAAGCTCTTTTTTCTAGTCCTAAAGAACAGGCTCTACGTCGCCATATATCTATATCTTTTAGACGACAAATTTTATATGTCGATTGGATATTCACAAATTTCAATGTACTTATGTTGACATTCTGAATTATCTCGAGGTATTTTGATCGATCACATGAAGATCTATATTTAAAATGTAAAAAATGAAAATTTGAAGTTCCAGTTTGAATCATCGAGATTTCAAACTTATTTCCATTAAGGCCCCGTTTGGTACACGGAATTCAACCTATGAAATTGGAATTAAGGACTTCAATTCTAATTCTGTTGTTTGGTAGCACAAAAATTATATGGATTTAGATTAGATAGTGCAAAAAATGAATTGAAATTGGTGAATTCAATTCTATGGAATTAAATCTTATGAAATTTCAATTCTAATTTATTTCCAAAAATTAAGAGGTAAGTTAAAAACTGATCTGGGTTTGAAGCTGGGCTTCACTGGTATTTCCATCAAGGCTTAGGCATTTGGATTTGCCACCACTCCGAAGTCCTTTGTTTCCCACTCAAGTCCGAATCAGCAGCGCTTTTTTTTCTTCTTCATTTACGCTCCTAAAAGTGCAGCAGTCTTCACTTCGTTTTATTCTTCGCTCGACTTGGCCGACCCTCAAAACGATCGGGCCTCAAATAGTTAAATCGCGATAAAAGGCCATCAAGCCTCAGCCGGAATCATCTCACCCAGAATAGTCCAAACTCATGGTTTGATTTCATATGCTCATTGTTTTGAGATTGGTTGTTTTTTGAGATTGATTAAGAAATCACGTGTTCGTTTTACTATTTTGATCCTGTTGTTTTGATTGTTCCTGGGACTGGAATTGGGATTGAAATCTGTTTGATCATTCCATTTCTTTAATTATTCATTTGTTTACAAATATGGTTTGATACATTGATATATGTTTGATACTGTAGTTCTTAAACCTTTGAGATTGATATATAAGAAATCTGGTTACTATCTAAGCATTCACTTTTTTGGTTGCAGGATAATGATAAAATTTATGTCTTTCTATTGTGGCATGTTTTATTCTTTTTTGTTATTGTAAGAATTTATGTTGTGTTTGAGACATATTTGTTCACCGTTCAAGACTACTGGCACACCCTTTGTTTTTGGAGAATGTTTTTTTTGGTTTCATTTTTAGAATTCCCTGTTTTTAAAGTTTTTACGGGCACACCCTTTCTTTACTGTTTTTTAGTGGGGATAATGGCATTGAATAACTCTTGTTATTAATACATGAAAAACACAACAAGAGTCTTTCATTATTATCATATTTTTTTTGTTTTTGCAGGTTCATTTTTAAATTCTTTATTCTTAAGTTCTTACTGTTTTTTTGTTCCTACTGTTATTACTAGTTCTTAGTAGCTTATGTTTAAAATTTGTACTGCATTTAAAACCCTTCTATTTGAAATCCTCAATCTGTAGTAAATAAGAAGAATTTTTTGCTTTTAAAATTAATTTTTTTAAAAACCGCATGAACAGAAAAAAATGTAGACTTTAACTGCACTAAACCAAACCGAATAACTGTTGGTTTACATTTTTTTGTGCAAAACTGAACCGAGCCGCAAGTGTATATTCCATTTTGTCTTTGGTTTTGGATAAAAACTGAATCGAGCCGCAAGTGTATATTCTGTTTTGTCTTTGGTTTTGTGTAAAAACTGAACTGTAAAAGCCAAACCCACTCCTACCTGATACTACATACCTCTAATTACTACTCCGTATCATTTATCTGCCTAATAAACCTGTTATCTATCTCCTTCCAAACACAGCTATGGTACCCTATCTTACTGAGCTATCATGTGCAGAGCAGTGAACACTATGCACTACTCGTCCGCTTTGAAGTGCTTTCCGTTTTCTTACATTTAGCAATAACTACACCAACTGGTCAACTCTTTGGTAGCTTTTAAATTTCAATTGATATTATAGAAAAACATGACTAATCACATCATTTGCAAGATTAAATACTTCACTTAATCTGACAGCAAAAACTTGAAGTTATGTTTAAATATACGAGTTGGCATTTGTGCATTTAAATCTTCAGATCTATCTCAAGTGGCTATTAAATTGCATTTCTGCATAGGTGAAAATTGAAGATATGATGCGGTTAAGAGCTTTCCTGCCGACAAATGATAAAATAGTGAAGATGCATATGCACCCCAGTCCCCACACATCTGTGACTCATTACAGCCGCATCGGATCACATTTCTGTTTGGAATTGGGAACACCGACAGGTTTTAAAATTCTTGTTTTTAAAATTATTTTCTCTCTTTTTACGTCTCTGATTTAAAGATATTCCATTGAATTTTGCATTAAAAAGTTTTTTTGATAATCAGATAATTTATGAGCTTAAGGCTGGTGGTGTTGACCAGAGGTGTTTGGTTGGGGCAAAGCTCGAGATGCTTTCCAAATTTTAGATAGTTAAATCATTGCTCTTCTATAGCTTCTATACTTTTAAAAGCTTTACTTCATGGTTGTGAACATTGTTGTCAAGTCGTCGCCTTCTCGCCTAGGCCACGACTAGTTGCCGACTAGCGGTTTTGCCATGGCGCTTTGCTCTTAATCTAGCGCCTAGGCCAGACTAGGCGATAAAGCGTGCAAAGCGACGCTTAGGCGCGCGTAGGCGACGCCTAGTCGTTGAATGAAATTGCCCAATTTGACCAAACCCAAATGACCCGACCCGACCCAAATTTCATTATTTTTTAAAATTTACGATAAAACACGGCCTTGTTCGACGCAATCCATCCAATCGACATTCAATCTGGGGTCGCGACTCTCCTCCATTAGCGACATCTTCCGGTTCCAGCACTTGCCTGACTTCTAGTTCCAACTCTCCTCCATGGGTAAGATTTCTCAATGTTTACTTTGTTATCACTAAAGTATACTCTTTATTTGATTCAATTTTCATTGATTTGGTTCATTAAACTACAAAGTATACTATACTTTAAAATTAGAGTAAATTCCATAATTGGTCCTTTATAATAGGAGGGTTTCCATATTTAGTCCTCTATTATCAAATATTACCCCCGTAGTCCCTTTTTTAAGGGTACCTTTCCACAAATGGTCCTTTTTTGATCTTCTGCCATGTTGGTATTAATTTAAAGGCTAAAAGTATAATTTGACGTCAACATTATGTCTAGTGACGTGTTCTGATGTTGGTTAAGCGGATAACACAAAAATAATGACTATGATTGTGGGTTAGGATTCTGACGAAAGATCACATTTGTAGACTATAGTTGTCATAAAAAGCGACTGTAATTCACAAACGACGCAAACGGAACAGTCTTTAGAATTGTGTATGACAAAAAGATATATTATCATTGTGAAATTACACTTTTAGCCCTCAAATTAACACCAACATGATAGAAGATCAAAAAAAGGACTATTTGTGGAAAGGTACCCATAAAAGAAGGACCACTTGGGTAATATTTGATAATAGAGGACTAAATAGGGAAACCCCCATGTTATAAAGGACCAATTATAGAATTTACTCTTAAAATTATTAGTTTTCTTCTGTTTTCTTAATATTTCAGATTTTTTTTCTGATTTCAGTTAATATTTTGGTTTTTTTCTTATTCTAGTATTTTAAGGGTTATAAACTAAAGTATATTCTTAATTTGATGTAAATTTCTTTAATTTGGTTCATTACACTAAAAAATTAAACTATAATTTTTTCAATTTTTTTTTGGTTTTCTTAATATTTCAGATTGTTTGGTTCTGATTTCTGTAAATATTTTGGTTTTGTATTTCTTATTTTAATATTTTAAGTGTTCTAGGCTCTTGTTTTTGTGTAATTGCTGGAATGTCTTATTCATCAACTAAACTTAATATTTATTTCAGAACAAATGGGAGATAATAATAATATCCGCGACTACGACGACGATCCATCCAAGGACCCCAAACGAAAAGCCAGCTCAAATGATCCCAGATGGAAATATGGGGTTTGGCCAAATATGTACAACAAAAATCTTGTGGAGTGTACATTATGCCACAAACAAATAAATGGTGGCATATGACGGTTCAAACGTCATCTTGTTGGCAGATTTGGGGATGTCACGAAGTGTCAAAATACAACAACAGAAATATCTAGAGAAATGCATCAGTATTTGAACAAGAACAAGAGGAAAAAATCCATGTCGTTGGAGGTTGAAGATGATCATGAAGTTGGTGATGATGGTATGAATGTGGATGATAGGCTTATGGGTTCCTCAATAGCTTCAAATCCTTCCATTACTCAACCAAGCAGAAGTTGTCCTCAAGTTTACTCAACTTACAATTACAATCAGTTGCTTGCATGGTAAGAAAGACGTCTGAAGAAGTGGTTGAAGAGAGACATACCAAGGGCCTAACTCATATGAAGAGCGGGTACTCAAGTAAAGAAGATGAAGAGCGGGTTTATATGCATATAAATGATTTCTTCATCGAAAATGGATACCATTTAATGCTGCTAATTCGAGAAGTTTTGAGATTATGATAGAACCAATTAGGCAATATGCATGGTTGTTAAGTCGATAAGTCGAGTCGAGTTGAGGACGGGAAGACTAGTGGACTAGGCGATTAGTCGTAGATTAGTCGACAAATCACAATGAGTATTGAAATTTTTAACATTATATATATCTACATTAACCCAACATGAATATATATATATATATATATATATATATATATATGTATATATATGTATATATATGTGTGTATATATATATATACACACATATATATACATATATATACATATATATACATACATACATACATACATATATATATATATATATATATATACTACCTCCGTCCCATTATATTCGTCCACTTTTGACTTTTGGAACTGTTGATCTAAGCACTTTGACTCATCAAATTCTCTCAATGCGTAAGCCTAAATATAGTCATGTGTGATCTTGTTTGATTTGTCTTAATATATAGATTATTAATATATAATTTGTATAATTTTTTAATATACAAATTACAAGATAAAATGGATTAAAAAAGTGTATTCGATGTTGTGTAAAAATGAAAGTGGACAAATACTTTAGGACGGAGGGAGTGTGTATATATATATATATATATATATATATATATATATATATATATATATCTTTTTTTCTTTAGGGATATACCTTTTTTAATTTTGGGACCATAAAAAATGAGACTCATTTCTTCCCATATCTTCAGAATTTGAGGGCATTGTAGAAGGCAGTGATCCATATTCCCCTCATTCTGTAGGCATGTGGGGCATTGGGATGGGTAGCTATAGCTGAATTTGCAAAGATTTTCAGAAAAGGGGAGTATGTTGTTGACTTTCCAAAGAAAGAGTTGTATTTTGGGTAGCTGCAGTTTGTGCCAATTGAATTTGTCACTTAGTTACAGTTGTGTGGTTTCTGCAGTGATTATAATAAGCTTGCTTTCTGGTAATGGGGACAACCTCTATAGCATCTTCTTCATCTGGATAAGGTATGATATCTCCCATTATTTCCTCCGCTGTGTTGTTGATTCTGCAAATCCTTTTCCTGATGGGGGAATCTACTATTTTTTCAACAAAGTTCTGAGTACTGTATTTTGCACTCATGAATTGAGCCCAATTGTTGTTGTTGAATCTAAAGTTCCACCAAAGTTTAATAGAGTAGGCATCCCGAAGCTCTTCTAGGTCCCTGATACCCAATCCTCCTTCTTCCTTAGGTGAGCAAATAGTCTCCCAATTGGTCCAGTGGTATTTTCCTTTGTTGTTGCTTTGACCCCATAAGAATTTAGCCATCATTTGTTGTAGCTTGTGAATGACAGATTTGGGTAAATAGTGGGCTGCCATGTAATGGAGAGGAATGGTGGATAAGACATGTTTAATAAGTATTAATCTCCCCGTGTGATTAAGAGTCTTGCTGTACCATTTTTCTATGTAATTGCTAAAATGAGAGATTAGCTCACCACAATCACCTTTCCTCAGCACCCCTTTACAGATTGGGATTCCCAAATACTTGAAAGGGAGGGTATCTTTTTTCATTTCGAGTATATTTTCCATCTGTAGGATTGCAGCTCTGTTATTTCCCCTTCCACAGTAGAACCTGCTCTTATTATAGTTTATCTCCTCTCCTGATGCTTCTTGGTATTTATTAAGAATCCCCTTAACTAAGGATCAGATTATTGCTTTGACCATTGCAAAAGATAATAACATCATCTGCATATGCCAAATGGCTAATCTACCAGTATTGAAATTTTTTATATAACCAGTGGACATATAGAAGTTTAGAGTCCTAGAAAGACCTTCACTTGCTATGATAAAGAGTAGGGGAGAGAGGCCCCCCCCCTGTTTGACCCCTCTTTTCATCTGAAAAAACCCAGTGGGACTGCCATTAATTAGTATGGACAAATGAGTGGAATTTAGATTAGCCAAAAGAAGGTTCTGAGCTTGATTAGAGAAGCCCATTCTTCCAAGAACCCCTTGTATGTAATGCCACTCCAGTTTATCAAATGCCTTGGCCATGTCAATCTTAAGAATGATATTACCACCTCTAACCTTGTTATCCAGCTTGTGAACCATTTCCTCCACCAAAAGTATCTGTTCCTCCACTCCCATACCTTTTTGAAATCCAGTCTGTTCAGGGGAGATAATTTTGGGAAGCAAACTGTGAATTCTGTTAGCAAGAATTCTAGTGTTAATCTTGCTCATGAAAGTGGATAAGGAGATTGGCCTGTAGTCTGTGAAAGTCTTTGGGTTATCAGTTTTAGGAATAAGGCTTATGAAGGTACTACCATAGCTTTTAGGCACTGGAATTCCAAGAAAAAAATTTCTGCGTAGCACTGATGACATCCTTCTTAATTATATTCCAGCAAGATCTGAAAAAATATCCATTAAATCCATCTGGTCCAGGGGCACTCCCAGGGTTGAGGGACCAAACAGCCTCTCTAATTTCCTCTTCCAGTGGTAATTTGCAAATGTTCTCATGGATGGGTTCCATGGAGATAGTATTACTTGAACTGAAAAGATTTGTAAAGTGGTCAATGGCTATCCCCTTGATAGATTCCATATCTTTAATAATCCTTCCTGCATGATCTTGAATTGCTCTTATCTTAGATTTAGATCTCCTCCCTTTAACATAGCCATGAAAGAATTTTGAGCTACAATCCCCTTCTGAAATCCATTTGAGATTAGCCTTTTGCTTCCAGAAGCTCAATTCATTATTAATAGCAAGAATAAGCTGAGCTCTGCATATATTGTCTTCTTCCAAATTATCAGGACTAGGGTTTTTCTCATACTCATCTTGAGCAATTCTGGCTTTTTCTTCTGGTTTTTTGAGGTTAGAGAAAATATTGCCAAAAGTTTCTGAGTTCCATTTCTTGAGTACTTGTTTAAGCCCCATGAGCTTGAGGCCCAAACCAACCATTCCTCCATAATGGTGAATGTTGCTCCAGTAATCATTTACCAAGTTATGGAAGGTGGGATGATTTATCCAGGAGTCTAGAAATCTGAATGGCTTAGGCCCACCATTATTTTCTTGTAAGCATTGTAAAAGTAGTGGTTTGTGGTCAGAAGTAGCTTTGTTGAGGTGCTTGACAAAAGTATCATCATAGTACTCAAGAATTTTGTTATTCACCATAATTCTGTCAAGTCTTCTGAAAACCATTCCATTCTTCCTACCCCAGACCAAAACAACAACAACAACAACAACCCAGTTAAATCCCACACGAGTAGGGTCTGGGGAGGGTGTGTGTACGCAGACCTTGCCCCTACTCGAAAGTAGAGAGACTGTTTCCAAAGAGGCCCCTGGCTCAACGTCGAAAGTTGCATTGCTTGACTAACTGCTACTTCATTAATTAAAGAAGCGCAGACAGTTTAGAGATCCATTTTGATTTATTCCATCACACCCCAAAGCCAAAAAATGGTGAAATTTTGGCTCCATCGGAGATGATGGAAAAGTGAAGGGAAAACCTATAGTTGGGGGTGTTGTGAGATCACAGGATTCAATGCATTCTTTAAACTCATCCATATCTGCTTGTTTAGGGAGGTTCATTCCTTTGTGTTCTGACCATTCTGCTATAATATTAAAATCTCCTCCAACCACCCAATGAGCAGCAGTGGTTTGTAGGGCTGCCAATTCCTGCCACAGATTTCTTCTTTCTCTGCCAGAGTGTTTACCATAAACAGTGGTGATACACATTTCCTCCTTAGTGTCAGTAATTGTGCAGTCACAATTGAGAAATTGATCCCCTTGAGTGCTGTTGTTGAGATTTATGGTGTCTTCATTCCAAAAAACCCATATTTTATTAGAGTTGGAGCTTAAGAAATTAGAGAAACCCATCTGCTTGCTGTAGAAATGAATCTGGTCAGCAGAATCAATGGGTTCAATGACTAGAAGCAAAAATTATGAAATTTTCTTTAACCCATTGATCCTTTTGAGAGAGGACCTAACTCCACACACATTCCAAAATAACAATATCATTTAAGACTGTAGAATATGAATTCTTAATGTCCTTTGTGACTTCTTGTTATCATACTGGTAGTAGGACCCATCCTCCTGTGTGTGTTTTTTTAGGGACTGCTATTGAAACAGTGTTTGAAGCAGGAATTTGGAAGACCCTGGGAGTTAAGGCAGATTGATCAATTATATCTCTGCTGCTTCCACCATCAGAGTGATAACCATACTCTTTTTCATCAATTCCCATCTCTTGCATTGGCATTTCATGGATTTCCTCAATTAGCATGGCCAGGCCCTTTTCAGGTGAGTGGTTGTGAAGAGAGTCATCAAAGGAACCTTTCCTTGGAGAATCTTTCTCCTTATCCTGTCTTCCTTTTCCATTAGAGGAATACATTTTTTTAAAAGCAAAAGCTTTAGCTTCTGACAGGGATGGAAAAAGAGGACTATTCTCTTGCTGTGGACCATCTGACACTTTAGATATAGATTTTCCCATAACACCCAATACATCCCCTTCTTCATAGGACGGTTGGTCTCCTTCATGATTGTCCAGTAGGTCCAGCAACAAGAAGTTATTTGTATTTTTGTTCTCAGCATCTTTCTTTTTCCATTCAAAAGTGGTGGGGCCTATTCTGACTGTCTTCTTTTTCTCGGATTGAGTGGGTGCTCTGTTTCCTTTTGTTTTTTTACTTTTGATTTGCTCCCATCCATTCTGATACTCATGAGAAATGCCCTTCTTACCCTTGCCAGAGGGATCTTTTCCGGTGGGCTGGTGGAGCGAGCCATGACTTTCAATCTTGTGTCCAAGCTTCTTGCAAAGCGTGCAGAATAATGGTTGTTCTTCATAAAAACAATTAGTGAATAGATCCTGAGAACCAATTCTTATGTGAATTTTGGGTGGAGGGGGAATGGAAAGATCTATTTCAATGCACACCCTGGCACTTTCCCTCCTATCCCTATTCACTATCCCTATTGACTGTGAAATCATCCAATTTGACAGGTTTCCCAATCAAGGAGCTAATGGTGAAGAGAGTGAAAATCTATGAGGTGAAGGGGGAGCTTATCAAATGAGACCCAGACAGGAAAAATGGGACAATCCTCCTTAGATTTGTAGTCTGTGTTCTATTTAAAAACATAGAAGTGGGTGCCATACACATACCATGTTTTCTTAAGAATGAAACGCAGGTAGTCCTCCTCTTCTTTAAAAGTGAAAAGAACATCAGCCTTGTTGATTTTCCTTATTCTGAAAGACTTGAACCTCATTTTAATGAACAGCTCCTTAAGATGTGCAAGGTGTACTTCCTTTTTGAACCTGCCCACTGCAGAGTGGTGCATTTTGCTTACCAAGTGCCTCTCTTCCTCTTGACTGAAACTCACAGATGGGCAAGAGTTGTAAAATCCTTCAACTTTTCCAATAGCTTGAACATTTGAGTGTTTGAAGAGGTCAGAGAAGTGTTTAACATATCTGGAGGACTTATTCTGCTACTGTTTCCTGTAAGAATGCACCTTGTGGAGAAAAATGAGAATAATATCTAGCCGTTGGATCTGATGCATCGTGCGGCTCAGATTGCATCATGCGCTCATATTTTGAGATAGTGCATTTTCAAAGGATTTTGGTGCATTTCGACGTGATGCATTTTTAAACCACTTTGGTGCATCTGATTTTGATGCAATTCTGGCCCTTAGATCACACAATCTAAAGCACCAGATTCATTCTCATTTCTCTCCTAAGATCACATTCTCACCAGAACCAAAATCTATATATATAGGGGTGGGGGGTTTAAGGGGAGGGTTAGGGGGGGTAGGAACCGTCGGTTTTACAAACGGAGCACCGTAGGTACCCAAATGAACTGGTGTAAACAACTGGTCTATAAGTAACTGGTGTCATTTTAGATGCTCCTATATATATATATATGTATATGTATATGTGTGTGTATATATATATATATATATGTATATATATATATAATATACATTCATATATATATATATATACATACATACATATATATATACATACATGTATATATACATACATGTATATATACATACATATATATACATACATACATACATATATATATATATATATATATATATATATATATATATATATATATATATATATGAAAAAATACCATAACCAAATCAAACTTATGTTTAAAGATAGCACATAAAGTCACTTAACAAAGAGTACATAACAAACAAATATCCTTCAGTCTTGAAACTAACACACCAAGAAAGATAATTATCACAAAAAGAAGTCAAAGGACATATTAAATTAGTTAATTCGATGTTTTGAGTTATCAAATATCATCATCCAATGTTATGCCACCATGACGGTTTTCTTCCACTGTGGTGTCATAGACAGGCGGAGAGATACCATAGTCATCATCAGCATCTTCATCATCGTTAGGAAAAACATCAATCTCGGTTTCAAAATCATCATCCACCAATCCCGTATTTGAAGCATCTCGTCGGTGATAGACAATCTCGGCATTTGACGTACTTGCACATTAGCACATCGTCGATGATAGACCATCTCGGCATTTAACGTACTTGCCATTCACTTGTGCAACTTGTACCACTCTCCTACGCAAGTCACGTCCCTCGAGATTGTTTGAAGCACCAGTTGCCTCATCCACATGACTCCACAAAAGATCATCTCCCAAATGAACAACTTCCTCATTGGCATCTAACAATTCATTATTTCATTGAAAATCTTCTAATACCAAAGGGTTAAAGTTATTCCCTTGTTCTCGACGCCTTTTGAAGCGATTGACAATCTTACGATTATATTTCACATACACCAAATTATTCAATCTTTGATGCTCGAGTCGATTTCTTTTATTTGTGTGTATCTAATTGAAAAAAATAGTTAGTGTGAAAGTGTTATAATCCATGGACTACAAAATAAATTATTAAATTTTGATTACTTACAAATGAAAAAGTACTCCAATTACGTTCACACCTAGATGAAGAACAACAAAGACCAATTATTCTTCTAGCAAATGTTAGAAGCTCTGGAGTATATCCACCAAACGAATTCCACCAATCAAATGAAAAAATTTAATTAAAGCATAAAAATACTATTAAATTTTATTTTACTTCCCACAAGATTAATTACTTTAAAATATTTACTTGGGGACATGAGCGTTCATTGCTTCATTGGTATACTCTTTGAAAAGCCTCCTCTTACTTTATCATATTCACCCATTTGCTGAATAATCTGCATTTGCAATCTGTCATCACCTATTGTTATTTTCTCTTCGACTTCATTAAATAAGACCCGAAGCCTAGATTCATATGTCTCATCCTTGTCTTTGAGCAAAAAATACTTGCCAAGATTTAAAAAATATGCAGCTACATATATTTTTTGCTCCATTTTATTCACCCATCAGTTTTCAATTATGTCCATCATTTTTTTTGCAATGTTGATTTGTTGGAAAAGGACTCCTTAATTTTTTTCCATAGAAACATCCATAGCTGCTATCACCTCCGTCATGGCTGGACGCTCATATCCATCGAAAATTCTCAACACAATTAAAAGAGGTTGTGATGCCCTTATACAATCTTCTACCACCTCTTAGAACTTAGAAGAAAGTACAATGTTACATACCTTTTTTCTTGCCTCTGTGTTTGCTAGCTTAGATTTACTCCAATCTTCACAAACGAAGAGCCTTCTCAATACATTATTGTGCTTATACATACTCTGTAGAGTGAGGAAAATTGTGGCAAATCATGTAACTCCAGGTCGAGCAATTTCTTTTTCATTGGTTTTTTCTCTAAATACAGCATGAAGTCTTACATGTGTGTAGACAAACTTAGTCATACGTCTTGCATTATCAATCTTACTCTTAAAATAAGCCAACTTGCCAATGTCTTCGAACATGAGATCCAAACAGTGGGCTGCACAGGATGTCCAAAAGAGCCTAGGAATACGAGACTCAAGTACTTTTCCAGCGGCTTTGTAATTGGAACCATTATCAGTTACCACTTGAGCAACTTTATCTCTTCCAATCTCTTCAATTTTTTCTTCCAACAAATCTGCTAGCATTCTTGCATCATTCACTTGACTTGAAGCATCTATTGAACGTAAGAAAAAAGTCCCTTTAGGACTATTTGCTAGAAAATTGATTAAATGCCGACCTCTTGTGTCTGTCCACCCATGTGAAATATGCGTGTAACCAGTTTTTGACCAAATCTTTTCATGCTCCTTTTTCAACATCACAGTCTCTTCTTTTGTTTTTTGAAGTAGTGGCACACGCAACTCATGATATGATATTGGTCTCAAGCCAGGTCTATTTTGCCATTGTTGTCAAGTCGTCGCCTAGGCCACAATTAGTCGTCGACTAGTCGTCCGGGCAGTTTTGCCATGGCGCTTTGCTCTTCGACTAGCGCCTAGGGCAGACTAGGCAAAGTAATGCTTAGGCGCGCGTAAGCGACTCCTATTCAGTGAATGAAATTGCTCAATTTGACCTACCCAATTGACCAGACCCAACCTAACCCGACCCGGCCCAAATTTCATTAGTTTTTAAAGTTTATGATAAAACACGGCCTCCTTCAACGCAATCCATCCAATTGACAGTCAATCTAGGGTCGCGACTCTCCATCAGCGACATCTTCCGATTCCAGCACTTGCGTGATTTCCAGTTCCGACTCTCCTAATGTTTACTTTGTTATCACTAAAGTACTTTATTTGATTTAATTTTCATTGATTTGTTTCATTAAACTATAATTTATACTATACTTTAAAATTTTCAGTTTTCTTCTGTTTTCTTAATATTTCAGATTTTTTTTCTGATTTCAGTTAATATTTAGTATTTTAAGGGTTTTAGACTATAGTATATTCTTAATTTGATGTAAATTTCTTTAATTTGGTTCATTAAACTAAAAAAATATACTATACTTTTTTCAATTTTTTTGGTTTTCTTAATATTTCAGCTTGTTTGGTTCTGATTTCAGTCAATATTTTGGTTTTGTATTTCTTATTTTAATATTTTAAGGGTTCTAGCCTCTTGTTTTTGTATAGGTTCTGGAATGTCATATTCATCAACTTAATTTAATATTTATTTCAGAACAAATGGAAGATAATAATAATATCCGCGACTACGACGACGATCCATCCAAGGACCCCAAACGAAAAGCCAGCTCAAATGATCCCAGATGAAAATATGGGTTTTGGCCAAATATGTACAACAAAAATCTTGTGGAGTGTACATTATGCCACAAACAAATAAATGGTGGCATAGGACAGTTCAAACGTCATCTTGCTAGCAGATTTAGGGATGTCACAAAGTGTCCAAATACAACAGAGATATCCAGAGAAATGCATCAGTATTTGTACAAGAACAAGAGGAAAAAATTCATGTCGTTGGAGGTTGAAGATGATCATGAAGTTGGTGATGATGATATGAATGTGGATGGTAGGCCTATGGGTTCGTCTGGAACTTCAAATCCTTCTATTACTCAACCAAGTTCAGGTACAAATGCCAAATGGAAGCAAGCTGTCCTCAAGTTAACTCAACCACAATTACAATCAGTTCCTTACATGGTAAGAAAGACGTCAGAAGAAGTGGTTGAAGAAAGACATACCAACGGCCCAACTCAAAGAACGATGGAATAGTTTGTCAAAAGTAAAGAAGATGAAGAGCGGATTCATATGCATATAAATGATTTCTTCATCGAAAATGGGATACCATTTAATGCTGCTAATTCTAGAAGTTTTGAGATTATGATAGAATCAATAGGGCAATATGGACCTGAGTTGAGACCATTATCATATCATGAGTTGCGTGTGCCACTACTTCAAAAAGCAAAAGAAGAGACCATTATTTTGAAAAAGGAGCATGAAAAGGTTTGGTCAAAAAATAGTTGCACGCTTATGTCAAATAAGTTCAGCATTTATCAATTTTCTGGCAAACAGTCCTGAATGGACTTTTTTCATAAGCTCAGTTGATGCTTCAAGTGAATGATGCAAGTATGTTAGGAGATTTGTTGGAAGAAAACTTGAAGAGATTGGAAGAGATAAAGTTGTTCAAATGGTATCTGATAATGGTTCCAATTACAAAGCTGCTGGAGAAGTACTTGAGTCTCGGATTCCTAGGCTCTTTTGGACATCCGGTGCAGCCCACTATTTGGATCTCATGTTCGAAGACATTGGCAAGTTGGCATATTTTAAGAGTAAGATTGATAATGCATGACGTGTGACTAAGTTTGTCTACAGACATGTACGACTTCATGCTGCATTTAGAGAAAAAACCAATGGAAAGGAAATTGCTCGACCTGGAGTTACATGATTTGTCACAACTTTCCTCACTCTACAGAGTATGTATAAGCACAATAATGCATTGAGAAGGCTCTTCGTTAGTGAAGATTGGAGTAAATCTAAACTAGCAACACAGAGGCGAGAAAAAAGGTATTTAACATTGTACTTTCTTCTAAGTTCTGGGAGACGGTAGAGGATTGTATAAGGGCATCACAACCTCTTTTAATTGTGCTGAGAATTTTCAATGGATATGAGCGTCTGGCCATGACGGAGGTGATAACAGCTATGGATGTTGCTATGGAAAAAATTAAGGAGTCCTTTGCCAAGAAATCAACATTGCAAAAAAAAATGATGGACATAATTGAGAACCGATGAGTGAATCAAATGGAGCAAAAAATATATGTAGCTGCATATTTTTTAAATCCTGGCAAGTATTTTTTGCTCAAAGACAAGGATGAGACATATGCATATAGGCTTCAGGTCTTGTTTAATGAGGTCGTAGAGAAAATGACAATAGGTGATGACAGATTGCAAATGCAGATTATTCAGCAAGTGGGTGAATATGATGAAGTAAGAGGAGGCTTTTTAAAGTTTATATCAGTGAAGCAATGAATGCTCATGGCCCCAAGTAAGTGTTTTAAAGTAATTAATCTTGTGGGAAGTAAAACAAAATTTTAATTGTTTGTTTATGCTTTAATTAAATTTTTTAGTTGATTTGTGGAATTCGTTTGGTGGATATAGTCCAGAGCTTCTAACATTTGCTTGTAGAATAATTGGTCTCTTTTGTTTTTCTTCTGGGTGTGAACAAAAATGGAGTACTTTTTCGTTTGTAAGTAATCAAAATTTATTATTTTGAAGTTAGTCCATGGATTATAACACTTTCACACTACCTATTTTTTTCCAATTAGATACACACAAAGAAAAGAAATCGACTCGAGCATCAAAGATTAAATGATTTGGTGTATGTGAAATATAATCGTAAGATTGTCAATCGCTTCAAAAGGCGTCGAGAACAAGGGAATAACTTTAACCCTTTGGTATTAGAAGATTTTCAATGAAATAATGAATTGGTAGATGCCAATGAGGAAGTTGTTCATTTGGGAGATGATCTTTTGTGGAGTCATGTGGATGAGGCAACTGGTGCTTCAAACAATCTCGAGGGACGTGACTTGCGTAGGAGAAGTGGTACAAGTTGCACAACTGAACGTGCAAGTACGTCAAATGTCGAGATTGTCTATCACCGAGGAGGTGCTTCAAATACGGGATTGGTGGATGATGATTTAGAAACTGAGATTGATGTTTTTCCTAATGATGATGAAGATGCTGATGATGACTATGGTCGTATCTCTCCGCCTTCTATGACACCACAATGGAAGAAAACCGTCATGGTGGCATAACGTTGGATGATGATATTTGATAACTCAAAACATGGAATTAACTATTTTAATATGTCCTTTGACTTCTTTTTTGTGTTAATTATCTTTCTTGGTGTGTTAGTTTCAAGATTGAAGGATATTTGTTATGTACTCTTTGTTAAGTGACTTTATCTGCTATCTTCAAACCTAAGTTTGCTTTGGTTATGGTATTTTGTTATATAAATATATAAATATAAATATAAATATATATATATATATATACACACACACACACACACACACGCACACACACATATTCATGTTGGGTTAATGTAGATATATATGATGTTAAAAATTTCAATGCTAATTGTGATTTGTCGACTAGTCTACGACTAATTGCATAGTCCACTAGTAACACTTTTGATGATGAATTTTCTTCTCAACGAAATTCCACTGAAGCACCTGCACAGAACTTCCAATTGTACAGCTGGGAAACATTTGAGCCAGTAGGTGATCTTCTTCCTCAACCTGATTGGACAGCTTGGAACCAAACAGTTGAGTATTGTGTTTTTGCCTATCCTCAACACATTGTCATCTATTCCTTGCGTCCCCAGTTTCGATGCCTGGGAGATGTAGCAATTCCATATGCTACTGGGGCTGTTTTGGCAACGGAGGCAGTTATTTGTTGCTACACCCACTACTATTGAGTGTGTATTTGTCGATGCTGGTGTCGCTGTTATTGACATAGAAACAAAACACAGGAAAGAAGAGATAAGACTGAAAGAAGCACAAGCACGAGCTGTTATCGAGCATGGGGAGTTAGCGTTTATAACAGTTGACAGCAGGCAAACGGCTGCTAATGAGAGGATTGCATTAAGATCCCCTATGCTACAGGTTGTCCGATTAGCATCTTTTCAGAATTCACTCTCTGTACCCCCATTTTTGAGTTTGCCTAAGCAACCCAAGGCTGAAAGTGATGACTCAGGGATGCTTAAAGTTACGGAAGAGAGGAGAGTTAGTGAGGTTGCTGTTGGTGGGGGCGGGGTTGTGGTTGCTGTCACTCGTTTTCCAGCAGAGCAGAAAAGACTAGTTGGACCTCTTGTTATCGTTGGTGTTAGGGATGGTGTTTTGTGGCTAGTCGACAGATATATGTGTGCACACGCAATATTCCTCAACCATCCCGGCATTCGTTGTCGCTGTCTTGCAGCTTACAGGGACGCTGTCAGTGCTGTGAAATGGGCAATTCGACTTGGTAGGAAGCATCATGATGACCTAGCACAATTTATGATTGGGATGGGTTATGCTACTGAAGCACTTCACTTGCCTGGAATATCTAAAAAATTGCAGCTTCATTTGGCCATGCAGAGCAACTATTTAAGAAGAGCACTTCAGTGTCATCTAACAATGAGCAACAGCAGGGATATCAGTCAAGAAGCTCTTTGTTTGGATCTGAGAGATATAAAGAGCTTGACTGAAAAGAAGGAAAATATTGTGGAAGCTGTTCAAGGAATTGTAAAGGAGTTCATGGACCTTATCGATGCTGCAGATGCCACTGGGCAGTCCGACATTACTCGTGAAGCTCTTAAAAGATTAGCAGCTGCAGGTGCAGTGGAGGGAGCTTTACAAGGTCAGGAGTTACGAGGGGTCGCTTTGAGGCTAGCTAATCATGGGGAGTTGACACGACTCGCTGTGTGTATAAAAATTCTTGTCTTTTTTTGTTGTCATGCTGTACTCTCTTTTTCTTCTATACACCACCAAGATAGATGGTGAAATTAATCATATCTTGGATCATATGGAGGTCCCTAATAATTCTACTGTAAATCATATCTTATTGAGAATATGATCTTTTGCAGAATTTGGTTAACAACCTGATATCAGTTGGTTCTGGACGAGAAGCAGCATTTGCGGCTTCACTTTTGGGTGAAAATGGACTTATGGAGAAAGCATAGCAGGAAATAGGGATGCTTGCGGAGGCTGTTCTTCATGCTCATGTATTTTATACCACCCAGATATTAATGCTTTACTAGCTTCTTTAGCAAAAAATACATTGTTTTTTGGCTTTGGGGTGATGGAATAAAGCAAAATGGATTGCTAAACTCTCTGCTCTTCTTTAATTGATGTAGTAGTTAATCAATGCAACTTTCGAAGCTGAGCTGGGGTCTCTTTGGAAACAGCTTCTCTACTTTCGTGTAGAGGTAAGGTTTGCGTACACACACCATCCCCAGACCCTACTCTTGTGGGATTCAACTGGGTTGTTGTTGTTTTTGTTGTAGCTTCTTTAGCATTGATGTTGGTTTATTAATGGCGTCCCAAATTTAATTTTGTATCTGGACTTTTTGGAGTTGTGAGTGCTAATATAATCAAATCTCATTGTCCTTAGGCTGACGGGCGACCTTCGTTGAGATCCTTGGTACAATCTTGGAACAAAATGTTGCAAAAAGAACTGGAGTGTATCTCTTCAACAAAAACTGACGCTGCTGCTGCTTTCTTGGCCTCCCTTGAGGAACCCAAGTTGACAAGTTTGGGAGATGCGGCCAAAAAGCCCTCCATTGGAACTCTACCTCCTGGGATGGCATCACTCTATGGTCCAAATCTTTGTCAAACAAATTGACCCGGCAAGCAGCAGCAAGGCTTACTTCAGAAATCAGATACACCAATGTCATTAGAAGGTTCGGAAACCCCACCACCGAACCCAACAGATCTTCTGGCTCCGGACGCCCACAAGAATCTGCACCACAACCACCACCGCCGCCGCAGCAAGGCTCTTCTGGCCCACAACGGTCAGAAGAATCAGTTGGTGTTGCCCCACAATCAGTTTCACTTGCAACCACAGAAATGAACCAAAAAAAGATTGTGATAATCATCAGGATATCGCCACATCGCCATTGGATACTTCTGCTCCCGCGACTGCAACCGGACAGAATGTCCCATCAACATCTACTGGTAGTGTTTCACCCTCAATTGAGGTTGTGGCCACCCAGCAGACTGGTGATGACTACAAGATTATGGCCATTCTAAATGACTTTCAAATGATTGACTTTTCTTGACATGCCACTCTGAACTTTTTTTTTGATGGTTTGCATATATGTTTTCATATTGAGTCCAGCACACGCCAGTTTAGGGTTCAAATTGTGCTTGTGCATCCAAGTTGTGCTTCTTTGGTACTCACTAATAGCGAACTAAATATAGTGGAGTAATATTTTGGTATTCAACGATATAAAAAACTCAAATTTGTACTGTCCAACATTAACATGGATTTTTTTATAGAATTTCGTGCAATAGTGGATTAAGTGTGAAATATCTATGATCATATATAGTAGACAATCATTTCTGAAGTTCTCATTTGAAAATTATTCTAATCACATAGACTATGGACTAAACCTATTAAGGGTTATTTTCACAATCGTGGATTTTTGAAAATTGAAAGACTAACCGTGCATTGAAAGAATTTTGACAATAGTAGATTAATTGTGAAATATCTTCAACCACCATTTCTGAAGTTCTTATTTGAAAGCTATTATAATGACATGGAGTATATATTAAACCTATTTTATAAAAGAAAGAGTGTTAGACCTGTCAAAAGCATGTAAGGTGGTTAGTTCTCCCGGGTGTCCGGGTGGGTGTGTAAGAGCATCCTTAATAGAGAGGAAATTTTAGTTTGAGAAAAAAAATGATGTGACAAAGAGAAAGATGGGGAATGGTTATAGTGCAAATTGTGCAAAGGGGAAAAAAGTAGAGAGAGAAGAGAAGAAATTGTCATAAATAAGAGTAAAGCATATCATTTATTCTCAAAATAGGAGTTCTATATTTTTATCTCCAAAATAGAAGTTTGTATTGTGATATTATGACACTGTATATTGATATTCCATTGTATTTTTTGGTATAGAGTATTATATATTGACATTATTGGCATTGTAACTCTTATTTTATAATTAAAAATACGGAATATCTATTTTGGCACTTTGTCCATATTTTAGTTCCATTTAGATGATAGGAATACCGGCAAGGTTCCTATGACATTGCCCGGTAATGTCATGAGATGACCTGGGGGCGCTCCGGTGCCCCATTCGTAAAATTGACGGTTTTTTGCCGTTGAAAACTCATTGGAATTGTCTATATTCTTTTGCCTTTTCCACATTATTAGAAAGAAGACCTTTCATTCTTTAGCGTTTGTTGCAGGTCTCTTTTAGGTTCACAATAAGGGGTGCGATCAAATGCGATCATAATATGACAACAATTTAATTGGAGTACTTACGGTGCTCTGTTTATAAATTTGATGATTCTTACTTCTCCAATTTTCTCAGTCCGACCAAATCCACCCCAACCCTTTAAATTTTATCTTCCGAATTTAGTTGACTTTTGGATCTTTTTTTTTTGAAGCAAAAATTAACTAAATTTGGAAGATGAGATTGAAGGGGTTGGGAGTTTTGTTCGGATCAAGCCGGGGTGGAGGGGTTTACCAGGAGAATAAGGGATAAGAAGCATCAGTTTTATAAACAGAGCACCGAAGATGTTCTAATTAGAGTTAATGCCATATTATGATATTATTATTTGTTGTCAAAAGAGGGGGGTGTTTTAGAAAAAAATTGTTAGTAGTGGTTTGTGGTTTAGTAATTTTTTATTACTCTGTATAATTTAGATGTCATTTATAAGGGAGAAAGACCAATGTAGGACTAAAACATTGAAAATATACCAAAATAGGACGTCCATGTTTTAATTCTCGAAATAGGACTTACATTACCAAACATGGTAATTACATTACCAAAAAAAATATAGTAATATGCACATGTACAGTGCCACATTACCACAGTGCAAAGTCCTATTTCGGGAAAAAAACATGAAAGTCCTATTTTGGTACTTTTCTCTATGTTTTAGTCCTATTTAGAATGATTTCTATTATCTTTATTACTATGATCATTAATGTCCTAATAATTTATCGATAATGACCAACATACTACTGAGCACAATGTCTAATATAGTCCAAGATGGTCTTTTAATCGATCTTCATTTTAGCAATTTACAATGTCCTTGTCCCTCTTCAAGAAATATTTGCACTAATATGCATTGTATATTGATATTCCATTGTATATTATGACACTGTAATAGGGAGATTTCTATTGATATTCCATTGATATTCCTATTTTAGTACTTTTCTTTATGTTTTAGTTCTATTTAGAGAGATTTCTACATTTATAAATCCAAAACGTAAAGTAAAATTTTATGGTATACATGTTTTTATTAAAATTAAAAAATTATGAATTTTGGCAATTTTTTACAATATCTATCATGGTTTATTATAATACTTATTATGTAGATAAATTCATATACTCATTGCGTCCACAAATAAATTTTCCGTTCATTATTCACAGGATCAAACTTTATTTACTTTGTTGGCTTATTTTCGTCACCCATTTGACAAAACAATATAGTCATGTCACCTCCAGTTTTGTAGATCTTTTGATATAGTTTTTTAATATGTAATTTTTATTTTTAAATTTTACACTATTTTTCATATTAAATAATTTGAAAATAACTTCAGTCAAACATCATAACGCGTAACTAAAAGTTTTTTATGGATGAAGTATAATACATGAGGCCCGTCATTAAATAAAAAATGGAAAGTGAGAAGAATTATTCAAATGATGCATAGAAAGTTAATACGGAGTACTACGTAGTACTTCGTATGATAAATTAAGTGGCAGGAGAAATGAGTAAAGATAGTTTAAAGTGTCATAAAAGATTTTCAGACAACGGTGAAGTGAAGATGAGAGAAAGGGAAATATTACAATGATTACATTGACTAGGGTCCGAAAAGGGAAATACGGAGTACTCATTATCTTTGCAAGCTGGGATCCAAACAAACATCCTACTCAACTCCGTCTCATATCTACTCTTTCATTCCCTTCCAAAATAAATTACTAAGGCCTTGTTTGGATACTGGCTGTTGGCTGTTGGCTGTTTATGTTAGCTGGTTTGAATGGCTGATTGAGTTAGCTGTTTTGACCGGCTGTTTCTGTTAGCAGTTAAATTTTAAGTGTTTGGCAACTTTAGCTGTTTATAGTTAGCTGTTTCTAAGTAAAATTACATAAAAGGACATCCCTCCATTTATGTTAATTTGTATGTAATTTTTAATTTTTCCATCCATTTTTTATTTAAAGATTTATATTGAAATAAAAAAACTTGTATATCTAAAACTACATCAAAAATTTTATAAAATAAAAGGTAAAAAAATATTTTATTTTATGAAATAAACAATAAAATTGTAAAAATACACAAAAATTGCTGTGATTTGGAACAATGCACATTGTATTGAACTCTGGGACAGAGAGAGTATGGTACTTTCTTAGTTGACTTTTCACGGTCTCCTATGCAACATTTTGATCATTAATATATCCATTTATATAACATCGATTATAAAAATATAATAATTCAAAACTACGTTTCAAAATGACACTATTAATACTAAATTAATATCATCATTTAATGTAATTTTTTGATTATACATGATCAAAGTTTATAAAGGTTGATTACAGATGAAGTGAAACTGAAAACAAAGATAAGAAACGAAAGGAGTAAAATACAAACAATCAAGAATGTCAAGGTATCAGAGTTAAGGTTCGCGAAAATATAGATTATTAATTACATTCCTTATTCACTTGTTTTCGTATTGTATTGTTAGTGTACTATAATTCTTCTCTTACTATGATTAGAATTCTCTCTTCTAATCCTTATATATAGGTAGGTTTCATTCATTATTAAAGAAGACCAATTATTATCAAATTGTATCATGATATCGGGTTTAAGGTTTCCAAAAACCTAGCCCTTCCTTTTTCGATCGAGCACATCGCTAGTCCCTGCTCATGGCGGTCGACCGTCCGACAGTATGGCGTCACGGACCAATCTCGACGAGCGTGTCTAACAGCCGCCATCCATTATCTCTCTCTTTCTTGCCAAAAAATCTATTATCTCTCTCTCAAAGATATGTGATCAAAGAATTAGAAAGTTGTATTTATCTGTGTTTTTTTCTAGAAATCAAGAGCATGAAAAACGACAGAGAAGCAGAGAATGACCCAAAAGGAGAAAAAACTTCCTGCCCTCGCTTCGATACTCTGTCAAGGAACCAACTCAACTAAAAGCTCAAGCTTGTGGTTATGGTCCAAGAATGATTTTTATATATACTCTAACAAAGAGAAAACTTAGGTATATATCACATTTATAGAACATGCCTAATTTTAAGGGTAAATGGCATTTTTTTTATATTGTAGAGAAAGTAACAAATGATTAAAATGCACACTTACCTATCATTAATGTTAAAGACCACCTCAAAAACTAATTTTTCTTCCACTTCACTTTAAAAACACACACCGCTGTAAGCTTAATATAATTATTAGCGTATCTCTCACCTTTTGACCTTTTTCTTCCTCATGCAAGAAAACTTTCCTTTCCCTTTTTCTTTTATTATTATCTTTTTTTATTTTTTTACATTCTTGAGTATCTCTCACCTAATTTTTTACATTTTTTTATTATCTTTTTACTTTTTTGGTTAAACTATGGCACCCTTTGACCATAAATCATGGAAAAAGTACATTTAGTTATAATGTAAATTTAGTAAAATTAGGTTTATTTTCAAACATAATTTTGAAATATCAAATTTTTATAATATTTAATTATTTAAAATACATTTAATTCATAGTCAAAGGATGCCACAGTTTAAAGAAAAATTAAAGTCAAACTGTGGTAATCTTTTAAGGACGGAGGAGTATATTGTTCCTTCTTCTTGGGTTGTTATTATTGTGTTTCTTATTCTATTTGGAGTATATAATACTGCCTCCATCCTAATTTTTTTACTCGTTTTGACTTTTTATCAAGTTTTTACATTAAATATAATTTAAAATTATTAAATGTTATAAAATGTGATGCTCTATATATCGAAAGAAAAAAAGATTAAATTATGAATAAAACCTAAGAAAACAACCAAACTAAAACGTTCATATTTTAATTTCCAAAATAGGATCTAACAAATAATATAAAACACATTATGAAGTGTCAATATACGATGTTTCATTGTTACAGTGCAATAATCTTATTTAGGAGATAAAAACGTGATACTTCTATTTAATGGGTAAAAACTATATTTTTCTCTTATTTTTAGATAATTTAGTATCTTATATCAAAACTACATCTTCAAATAAACTTTATTATGTCAAAACTACATTTCAAAAACTTGATATATCAAAACTATATTTATTCAAAAAACTATATCTTAAAAATTTGATATATCAAAACAACATCTTGAAAATTTGATATATCAAAACTATATTTAAAATAAACTCATCAACTATATCAAAACTACACCTTAAAATTGTGATATATAAAAACTACATTTTAAAATAAACTCAAATATATCAAAAATACTCTTAAAATTTTATATATCAAATTTTTATACATTTATTTATCTAAAATGGTACTCTGTATTTAATATAAAAACTTTACAACAAAGTCAAAATGTGGAAAGGTTTTTTTAATAGAGGTAAGGTTTATGTATTAATTTACTCCAAAAAGAATAGGAAAGAAAATACAATGTAAAAAAGAGAAATAAAGTAAAAAATTAATAAAAGGAAAATGAAAAAATGGTGTTTTATTGCATGAGGAAGAGAAAGGAGAGATACGCACTCAAAAAAAAAGAGGATATAAGGTAATACTCCATATAAATCTTCCGGGTTATTAACGGCGTGTATTTTTACTTTATTAAAATGTGAAATTTGCACTAAATAGAATTAAAACATAATGACTTTCCTAATGTAAGACTTAAACTTTTTTATTCCCTAAATAGGACTTAATAATGACCTAGTGGGAAGAATAATGTCCAGTAATGATGGACATTTACTTGAATAATGACTACTTCATAATGACCAAAAGTCCTACATTGAGAAATAAAAACATATAGTCCTATATTGGAAAAGTCATTATGTTTTAGTCGTATTTAGGTAAATTTCTCTATTAAAATTGGCATAAAACAAATCTCATAAATTATTTTGTATGAATATGCAATATCACTTTTGTTCAAATTCTATTCAAAATTTTCCAATTTTTATCCAAAAAAATTAAAAAGAATGATATTTTAAGACTATATACTCCCTACTTTGTATATTATAAAATTAATCTATTAATATTGAATTTATAACATAACACGGTATATTTTTTTCATATATCATTGTGAATGATTAAAATCATCAACAAAAAGAGTCAAGTAAAAGAAAATTAAGAGAGGTGATACTGTAATAAAGAAAGTAAACCACCAAACACAAATTGCATTTCTTCAAACAATCATTCTACATCTCCACCAAGGAGTGCACTCCATTTTGTACACCATATGTAAACACCGTCACTTTGATGGTTCACAGCACTACACAAAATGCAAGTGCGATCGAAAAATTTTGCACAAGAATTTTGTGCCAGTGTGAATAATCAAAGTGACGATCCAAACCTATGATGTAGAAAATATGGTATACTCCCGCAGAAGAAGTAGCTTTATTCATCTCCAAATGCAAATATTTGAAGCCTCTTAGGACGTTATTATGCGTTCTCATCATCATCATCTTCCCCTCCATCCTGAGAACCAACCTCGGGATCTTCTTCCCTTTCTTCATCGTCGCGGTTCGCCATTTTAAACGAGAGCCTCAACCTCCCATTTGTTCTATCAGCTTGGAACAAAGGGTTGGGTTTAGTGACAGAAATGGCTGCTAACACCAACCGGCCGCCCTCGCGATGAGGCCTCATCACCTTAACCCCATCACTACCCCTGTCACTTGATGAAGTCAGGGGCGGTGGGAAGGTCTTGGTTTTGGGGAACCTGTTGCTCACTGCAGAGGGCGGCAAAGGGACAAAAGTCTCTCTGCTCTTCTGCAGTGAAAGGTAGGAAGATATTTCCTCAATGGTTTCAGTATTGTCGAAGCCCGTTTCGCTCCCCAAGCTCTCGGTACACATCTCCAGGCTTTTCGAACTTAGCGTTGATAAGGAGCGCGTCATCCGCGGGCGAACAGGCAGTTCCATTTGATTCGGAGTGGGGGGCGGATTGTTTGCTAGCTCTTCGATAAAGCTCCACCCGCCGGAAAACCGCTCCCTGATTGATTCTTTGGGCGGTGAATCTAATTCGTGCATGAGTTTGTTTGAATGCAACCCTTGGGCAATAGAATAGCTTGCTGCTGCCTTCATCATGATTTTAGAGAGGCTAGCTATACTAGCTAGGTTTTGATGAACAAGAAATAAATTATGGTAAAAATAAGGAAAATACAAAAGTAGATGATAATGGGGAGGTGAATGGAGGAAGGGTCATATTTATAGGAAAACATTGGTCTGGTCATGAACATAAAGGTAGACGCAGGTTGGTGTGAAGTCTCCTAGCTTCGTCCCAAATGCAGTTTTAATTGTTAGAGCCTTCTTTAGAACTGGAAAAAAGAGTTGGATGTTGGAAGAAAATGGAAAAAACTGGAAAAAACAGGAAGAAACTGAAAAGAACTGGAAGAAACTGGAAGAAACTAGAAGAAATTAGAAGAAAACTAGAAAAAATTAGATGAAATTGAAAAAACTAGAAAAAATAGGAAAATCTAAAAAAAATTTAAAAACTTCTTTTTTGTGTATTTTTATATTATTCTCGTTCTAATTCTTGTTGTTATAAATTATCAATATTATTAATATTAATATTAATATTATTATTATTATTATTATTATCATCATCATCATCATCATCATCATCATCATCATCATCATTATTGTTGTTGTTGTTGTTGTCAACACGTTACTTGATACGCACTCGTATCGGATAGGGAAGACTCAGAGCGTCTTCGAGCTCGTGAGAATATGAGACGAGGAAGAAGAAGAAGAATTGAGGCGAAGGAGGGAATCGGCGAACCGAGAGGGGAGAAGGAATTAGGGTTTTGAGTTGTTTATTGATTGATTATTCTAGATGAGGTTACATCTCTATTTATAGGAGATAAGGAAACCCTAGCTAACCATAAACCTAACCTGACGGTTCAATAAAAGCGACGAGGGAAAGAGCCGTAAAGAAACCTCGAAGGAGCTTATAATTCCGCTCACCTAATAAAACCTAAATTACAATAATAATAATAATAATAATAATAATAATAATAATAATAATACTAAGTATCATACTCTACTATCCATAACACTCTCACCCCCTTAGAAAACCACCTTGTCCTCAAAGTGGAGGCTCCCACTCGTGCTTTTGGACTGGAGAGAAGGTGCTGAACCAAAAACGATATCCACTTCTCGCCCTAATATCAATCGACATGCCTCTTAGAATGTGATGGGAGAAACATGAGGTAGAGCCATTCACGAGACTTGTTGCTTGCATAAGAACTTCAGTACTTGACATCTCAATTTTTTTGGTGCATTTATAAAAAAGTACATCATCTCTGAAAACCTGCACCTGAAGATATTGGTCGCGATGAGAGTTGTCCCTATCAACATCGTCTAGAAGAACAACCTCGGCAACGAGCACGAGAACAACGTCAGGAGTAGGTACAACATCAATTTCCTCCTTCGATTCCTGGTCAAGAGAATCAGTGTTTTGCATAGTTACTGTATGGGACAAACTTGGTGTTGCAGACGAAGCACTGATGAGGTTCCTTAGTGCGTCCCACACATGTGTTCTAAAATTTTGTAACTCCAAAGTAATTTGACTCGACACAATTGAGGAATCACGAACCAAATCCTGTATTGAACATGAGATATCCACCTCAAACATAGATAAGCCGAAGTCATAAGTTGATTGGCCCTCAATATTAGCGAACGAGCGGAGCGTCTTGATAATTTCATAAAGTTGAGCATAAACTAAGCACATCCCTTCATCAAAATCAATTTTTTTATGCAAAACAATCTCTATTAAATTGAAGAGATTATCAACCATGAGTGTATCAAGAGATGAAGTTGCTACACAATTTCTGGACATAATTAATTATTGGAGAACCGGCCTGTCCGCAAGGTTGGGTGGCACCACTGCACACTACTCAGTTCGTCCAAGGCGGAAGTATTAGTAGCACCAAATTATTGAAATAACACTCCGTAAGTGGGTCAAAGCAAAATACTCTGAGGGATAAAAATTATTATTTTCTGAGTCAGTTGAAAAATCATTTTTTCTCTGTCTAAAAATATTTTACCGAGTCAGTTTCAAAATAGTGTGTCAAAATTTCATAAAATATTTTTAAGGATACACAAACTTTTTGTGAGAAAAATATACCTTAAATATTTTTTTGTACATCGTTTGACACACAAAATAATTTTTGGACTCACTTCTTTCTCCCCTATTCAAATTCATTGAATAGGAGATAACTTTCTGAGGAGCGTGTTTTGATATTCCCGTTGTCTCAAACAACGAGTATGAAGCCAAAGGCTTTCTATCGCAACTGGCCTTGGGCCCTTTGGGTTGTGCCATTATTTCTAAATATTTGATTTTCTGTCTTATTTTAATCGATTTTTTGGTTGTCGCTGGTTTCCCCTTGGGCTGGCCACTAATCGATTTCTGCTCTTCTTTTAATCGATTAGTTCGGACAGAGCTGACTAATCGATTTTCTGACTCCATTTAATCGATTAATTACATTCTTCAATTTAGGCTTTTTCGCCTCTGTGTACCTTAATCGATTAACATATCTTCTTTAATCGATTAATATTATCTGGTACCTATTATCAGTATGCTCCAACGGATTTATTTTACTCAGCCTATTTAATCTCTCATTCTCCTTCATTTCAATACACAACTCTTGCACTCCAATATCTTCGTTGAGCTATATTCATTTCTTGCTTCCATCTTCTTCATCAAATATTATTTTTTGAGAGTTAGAAATATTTTCATTGAGTGCTAAAGATATTGTCATCAATAGAGCTTTAATCTTTCAAACACTACTTGCTCAATTGCGTGAGCTTTCATTCTTGTGTTGTAAACTTAATCTTGTTTGAGTGTTGTTCTTAAGACTTGTGTGACTCAAGTCTTGGTGTTGTAAGAAAGTGAGGCCTGTGTGATTCAAGTTCTCAAGTTGTACCAGTTTTTCAAGCACCCGTTGAAGCTTGAAGATTAGTAGGACTTTCGAGAGATTCTCTCGGAGGACTGGACTAGCCACGAGGTGGTGAACCAGTATAAATCTCGGTGTTCTTCTTTCTCTTACTCTTTTTATTTATTCTTGCGATTTTAATTTCACACACGCGAAAAACGCACATTCTTGAAAACAACTCTATTCACCCCCCCTCTAGAGTTGCACATTTGTCTAATAAAAAGATTTAGGACAAATAAAGAATTCATTACTTCGTGACATTAGTTGAGTATTTATATTTTTTTTATTTTTAAAAAGCAATTCATTTATTTATTTGTTATGCTTTTATATATTTGTTATGATGTGATAAAATTAATTATGTTATAAAATCAATTTTGTAAAAGATAAATATAGTATTGTCTGAAATAAAATTATTAAAGGAAAACAATTATATAAAATATACTTTTATGATAAAACTTATTATGATGTAGCAAAAAATTAATGAAATTATAAAATTGGTATTATCACTTACCATTTCTAGGCTAGCATTTTTTATGAATCAAATTTTTAACTAAGTGCATACACAAAAAACAAAATTTTGATAATGATATATTTTCGTTTAAAAATATTCTTATAGGAAAGGATCAAATATGTTTATAATTGATTCTTTATTTATAAGATTGATATTTTAAAATACAAATGATTAAAACAAAATATATTGTTGGGACTTATTATATTACACTAACATTATTTATGATTTTATTATCATTGAGTACATTTAATTAAGAAAGAGAGATATTTATTTTTCATTAGAATATTGTTTTAAATTTTTATTTTTCATTTCATTTATAATAATACTTTCAATGAATATATAAACTAATCTCTTCATCTTTAAAAAATTTTCATATTTCTTTATGTTATGATTAAGGGAAGTTAGTTTTATTCTATTTAAATATTGATGTAAAATAACGAATACTTCTTAATCCCTATATTAAAACTGTTTATATTAAGATATGACTCGATTATTTTTTTAAATGATCAAGTGTTTAAACCAAATTACTTAGCAGGAATATTTAATGTGAAATTTGCACTAAATAGGACTAAAACATAATGACTTTCCTAATGTAGGATTCAAACTTTTTTATTCCCTAAATAGGACTTAATAATGACCTAGTGGGAGGAATAATGACTAGTAATGATAGACCTTTAGTTGAATAATGACTACTTGATAATGACCAAAAGTCCTACATTGGGAAAAATAAAAACATATGGTCCTATATTGGGAAAATCATTATGTTTTAGTCCTATTTAGGTAAATTTCTCATATTTAATTTGACTTTTGTACTTTATCTTGCTTATTTGACCTATTATTTTAATCAAAAAAGTTTACACTGTAACTTACCATTTTTAAGATGTAACATAAAATTTATAAATTTATATTGGTTTATAATTCACTATATTGATGCATGAAAATAAAAAAGACGGACGAAGTTTGACTCGATTTTCTTTTCTTCATTTTCGCAGTCATACAAAGAAATTTAACAAAATGATATTCTTAGAGATGAAGCGATATAACATGGACTTTCACAAAAAATAAAGGAAAATTAAGATCTGGAGGCCAAGAAACGCGTGAAGATCTGTGACAATTAAAATTTAGATGCAAGAATAATCAATAATTTAAGGAGAAGTACGAACAAGATCTAATGTGCAGAAGTGAATAAGATTTAGGCTCAGCTACAACATCAAAGAGAAATATAATTTTTAAATTGTAACTCTTTTTATTTTATAAAACATTATGTATTGACCAAAATACTTTCACACACTTAAATTATTTTATATTTAAAAAAGAAAGCAAAAAAAATGAGTATAAATTGTGAAATAGTTTTTGTAATAATTTAGTAAACCTAGATTTTATATATATATATATATATACATACATACATACATACATACATACATACATAGATATATATATATATATATATATGTATGTATCTATGTATGTATGTATGTATGTATGTATGTATGTATGTATGTATATGTATGTATGTATGTATGTATGTATGTATGTATGTATGTATGTATGTATATATATATATATATATATATATATATATATATATATGAAATTTAAATGGTATATAACATAAAAAAATAAAGTTGTTTAAATATTTGATATTGTACAATACAATAAAAAACAATTCTGTTCCACCCGTGCATAGCACGAGTTAAAATACTAGTATATATTTATAAAGCTGAGCGGCTTAAATGCGGTAACGACATGTGTCACGCCACACGTGTACATTTGTAACACGTGTCATGCCACATTTTCATCACATGCCACGTGGCATGCCATACATGCGTGCATATTAATTTTTATATTAAATAATCACTATTTTTATTATACTTTATAAATCCATTCAGTTTATAAACTTTCACTTTCTAACTTCATATATATATATATTTATAAAGCTGAGCGGCTTAAATGCGGTAACGCCATGTGTCACGCCACACGTGTACATTTGTAACACGTGTCATGCCACATTTGCATCACATGCCACGTGGCATGCCATGTGTGCATATTAATTTTTATATTAAATAATCACTATTTTTATTATACTTTATAAATCCATTCAGTTTATAAACTTTCACTTTCTAACTTTAATAATAATTTTTGTATTATATTTTCATCATTGTAATATATTTCAAAGTTCAAAAACTAATTTCATTAATTTAAAAATTTTAAATAAGTTATTTTTTGTAATCCATAATTTATATTTCTATTACTTCTAAAATGTAATTTCATTAATTTATCACATATGTATATTTTTTTGAGTGTAATTGACTCTATTACATAAGCATTTTCATTAACTACTCCCTCCGTCCTTTGAAAAACTTCCCATTTTGACTTTTAAAGGATTTAAGGGAAGTGTATTTTGGTATTGACTTTCCAAAAATGCCCTTTGATATAATGGATAAAGTAGGATAAGATGAGTAGATTACTAGAGAAAAAGTTTGATATGATAGGTAGGTTAAGAATTAATAGAGGTAAATGTGACTTTTTAATAGAAAAGAGAATGATTTTTTGGGACGGATAAAAAAAGAAATTAGAAGGTTTTTGTGGGACAGAGGGAGTATATGATATATATTTTAAAACTTTAGATTTATTTTATTATACACCCTCGGTCCTTAATTTGATTTCTCAATTTACGAGATTTGACCGAAGTTATTTTAAATTCAATTTGTTTGATTACGTGTAAAATTTAAAAATAAAACTTTTATGTTTAAAACTGCATGAAAAGTTTAAAAAAATACTATAAATGACATGACTATATTATTTTATCAAATGAGTAATGAAAATAAAAAGTAGAATGTTAAAATTTTAGAGTATTTACGAGCTCGTGCGAAGCACGGGGTTAACACTAGTTATATTAATACAACAAAAGAATTTTATAGAGTATAATTTTTTTTAAAATTATGAATGTGATAATGAAATTCTTTTTTATTTACATGGAATATAATTTTTACTTATTGATTAGCAAATTTTAATGAATACTTTGGGATAATGATGGTAGTATTATGTACGGACTTTTATTCATATTTAATAATTATTCATTTGTATTCAAGTTTTTAAAATGTCCGAATCAATTCAACCAAAACTCAAGTGTATGGTTGTGACCAAGGAATGATTTTT